ATTGCGGAAGTTAGTCGCGGACTGGGCCTAAATCCTTCCCCTTGTCTTCTGTGATTTCTCATTTGGTTTTTTTTCTGCTCTTCGTCAGAATCAACCGCCCCCCCCCCCCCCCCTCCACCCCCTATTCTTTTTGACCAGTCCCTAAGCGACCTAGTCCCCTGTGTGATGGTCTACTCAAATTCACATTTACAGTTGGGGGCATTCATTATTATTACTAAATTGATCGTAAACTGCGTTACAAATAGAGTCACAAACAAGAAGTCTTGCTGTGTTGTAGATCACCCATTTACGTTCGATTTCACATGCAAGGACCAAACAATACTAAAACTACATACTTCGCTCAATCTCACCTGTCTCGGTTGTTTCATGCTTCCAACTACAGCATATGAATCGAATTTGGGATCCCAGGTGGCGCGAAAATTTGTCAACCATCGGCCAACTTGATTATCATGTCTGTCGATGGAAGAGGGCAATTTAAAAAAATTGCAATTCATTTTTTATACTTTTCTCTACGAAAACAGGCGTCCAATAATCTGTGCTTTGCTTGAAAAATATTGTTCCATTTTCTCATTTGTAGGGAAAGCGGTCGTAGAAGAACTGGAAAACTCTGCTCATTCGCACCGGAAATGAGCCGTACCATTTGAGCTTTCAACCGGAATTACGAGGCATATGGTGAACGTGGTTTCACAAATGGTCCAGTGATAATCCAGGCATTTCGGCTCGAACGGAAAGGGAGGAACTTGTAACATATTCTCACTGCATAATTGATTAGCTCATTGCATTTATTTTGTCATCGGGAGAAATGGTCGGACATTTACGCATATCAATGAGCCACTGAGGCGGGCTAATCAAGCATGAATGTGCCAAGAAAGCGGCATAATAATAGAGAAAACGGGCGATTTTGGCGCAGCAGAGTGACTAAAACCGTCATTTCGGTACTTAAAAAGATGAATTCTTTAACATTATAGAGCGGATTCTTTAAGGATTAATCTATCATTCCAGCTAAATTTCAAGTAAATTAAATGAGATTTGGGTGCAGACTTTTAACATTGAAAATCAGACTTTTTACAGTTATTTTCAGTATGGAAAACGACCCTTGTCCAAGTTAAACATCGAATTTCTTCAAAAATAATCAGAAATCTTCAGATTATAGACAAAGGCCTTACCTACACGTGGATAGCTTTTTCGCGAAAATTTGACTCGATTAAGTTGCAGACTTTTAAGTTTGAAAATATAAAGTTTAAAGTTAGCGCGCAGTCGGAGTGAAGTCATTGTCTTAGTCGAAACAATGGTTGCCATGCAAAAACAATACGGGGTCGCTTTGAACAACAGACAACATAGAGAAGCCAGTCGCGCGCGAAATTTAAAGAAATCAGAGCACTTGCGGCCTACATTTGCTACCCCGACAAAATTGTTTTCAAGATATCCGATTCACGCTTAACTACATAGTGATACAGTTTCGGTTATAAGCTTATCTAGGTTCAGATCGGTTATTGGCGGTTTCATCTGCGCGAATATCACCATTTTCGACACTGTTTTCGACTGAAAATTTACATAGAGCCTCCAATTCTCTTTATAGAGCGGGGAACAACTTTTCAATAAATCTATCTTGCTATCGTTGTCTATATTAAACGTCCCTCTTTTTTTGACTTCAATCTCCTTATTGCGCGTCCGACGGGTGTATTCAGGAGACTAACTTCCGATGCGAAAGGGCCGATTCTAAACTTCGCACTGATCACTCTAGTTATGCGTTATCTTCGTTCACATGTAATTTATTAAAGGCAAACTGACTTCCTTTTTTTACTCAACTTTTTCTCTACCACCGTCTTACTCATAGAGTAATCAGTTAGAGCTCCGTAAAAACCCTAATGTCTAAAATTTTCGACTCATCTTTAAGTCAGTTATCTGTAAGGAGTAATTGAAATGCGTAAAGGTGTGATCTGGCATCACAAAAGAGAAAACAATAGAGATTGGGCTATTGTTGGTTTCACCCGCCTACTCTTCGATGACGAGAACTGCCGCGCGTTCATGGTAACCAATGAAAAAGACTCCTGTTCAGCATTTTAGAATAACAATAAGCGATATGACAGACCTAGAAGCTTTCGCCGACTGTAAGTAAATGTCCCAAGAACAATGGCCATTTCTCCCGATCATAACCCGTGCGCATTCCCTAAGGCTCGTCCATGCTTGTTGCCGGTTGTAATGCTTCGCGCCCCTCGACTATAAATTTGGCTGTGCCGCCTAAATGTGGTCATTCTTAACGATTGTGATCCGGGACAACCGTCAATTTTCGCAACCCACCCCTCCTCCTCTGGTGGCGGTTGACAAATTTAGTGTTATTCTCGTTCCATGCCTATTGCCTCAGCAGTCGCGGACTTCTCCCATAACTTGATATTATGCAGGGTTCTGTCTAGGATTTATCGTTTGGGGGAGAAGTCCCGAGTGGACGAAGGCCACGAGCTTCCTAGGGAGATCCAGGGGCATGCCCACCGGAAATTTTTTGAAATGAATATGCGCTGAGATGCAATCTGGTGCATTTTGAGACACAATTTTGAGAAATGTCACAGTGTGTGCACTGACCTCGTCGCGTCTTAGATGATTTTTCCGATTTACTTATATACTGTAATGATAACAATATTTTGGGGGGGGGGGGGGGGAAAGCTTTTTTTCCTCAAATCACCTAAATAAAACCCTGTTTTTTGGTGAGGTAATGATAATGCGGGGGGGATAGTCTGGGTTTTTCCATTTTTTCCGGCGCTTTTCTTTCTATTCCTCAAATACCCTAGATAGAACCCTGTTATGTGGTGAGGTAATGAGTATGCAGTGAGGATAGTCTGAGTATTTCCATCTTTTCCGGAGCTTTTCACTGGAATGAACTGCGTATACCATTTGTATACCACTTATACTAAATTTGCGGTTTTCTTTCTTCGTCAAAATTGCCAACGCGCCAATTGTCACTTTCTCACGGGCGTTTTTTCGCGCTTGGTACTCGCATTGGTTTCACTTTGCTAAGTAACTTGTACGTCTATTCCGATCTTAGCGTGATAACTTTGGTTTTAGCGCAACAACTTCTAGGATCGCTTAGGTGGACAACATAAGCAACAATTAGTTTCTTGTTGCCTTTGGATACCACTGACCAATCACTGCCAACGCTTGCCTGCCCAAACCATCCCAGAAGTCATTGCCCCGAAAGCTTGCACCCATTCCCCTGCTGTTTCCGGAGTGGCGCGAATTTAAAAACGCTTGACTAATCAACATTTCTATAATAAAAAGCCAACTTTTCTGACCATGACTTACCTGAAACAACATTTCGGTGAGGAGGAAACTTGCCCAGATGAGTCAACATGATTAATACTGATGAACAAGAAGAAAAGAGAAAACACGAGACAAATTCACTCTGGGTTTTCAAGATTATTGCATTATCAACAAACTAAACCCTTTTGCAACATCGGTAGGTTTTTCATTTACAGCCGCTTTTTGGTTTTGGCAGTGATTTTGTTTATGCCAAGTTTTCTAAGATTTAAGTTTAAGTTATAATCCGACCTTCTTGTCGTTTCCACCATCAAGTGTCATGATTCTGTTAGCTGTTCTTTGTTGTTTTCTTTCTTCTTCGTTTAGAACCAAGTAGCTTTTTTTCAATTAAAGCAAATTGTTGTGACATGTTTTGTGTTTGTGAAGTGTTCCGTACGGGTATTTATTATTCATTCAAAATATTTCTCCGTTTCTCATTGGCTAAACTCCCAGGCATAATCAGCTACTATTAATTGGAAGAATTTTGCGATATGTGAACTGATGACGTCAATCATGCAATATTTAACGGCTAACCGAGAAGACCTGGGGACGAGTATGAGTTTTTCGGTAGTGATACAAAATAAATCACAAAATGGCCGAACGTTTCACTCGTTTCACGAGGAAGAAGTAGGCAACCTATTGCCTAAAAACATGGCGAGAACAGCAAGAAGACATCTCGACGGACGACACTTGCTATTTGGAGAATATCCACAGAAATGAACAACCTTTTATCTCCTAAACTTGCCGATAAATATGCACTATCGAAGATGAACTTAACATCGATGGAGGTAAGCATGTTTTAGCTTGTTTTTAAATAAGGAATTATTTTGAATGAATAATAAAACAATTATTGAATTTGGCTATCGTATCATCTGAAACATTATGATGATCTCGGAGGGCGTTATCCTCCTCGGCCACACCCTTCTCGATCTCCATAATTCTTCAGATGATACTCAGCCTCATTCAATAATTGCTAATTATTTCAATGCGTGATTGCAATCGAGTCTGATTATTGAATTACCACAGATCACTTCAGGGTACTGCATGTAGTTGACAGTTTGAACGTTGTACATGAATCACGATAAAAAAGAGTAAAGCAATTCTGTATCATGTGCACATTTCCAGACGATATTTCCTCAATTGCTTGCCAGTTGAAAATCGTGTTTTTCTTTTTGCATGAATTGAAGCAAAGGAGTCGTGACGTCACTGGACAGCATTAACGCCGGTCGATTCAAACGTTGTTGAGGGCCGGATTCTGTTATTGTATCTCTAAATGAGTACACACACTGACTTTGAGTATGAGTACACACACTTCTTGAAATGAAACCTTCAATGCCCTCTTAGACTCTCCTTTAACCCAGAGATTTAACAAACATCTTTCTAACCCTATCAATCCGTACTGTAAGTTACAGTACCTCATCTAATAGACAGCTGATATTTGTTGTATCCGTGGATGGTTTAGTCATGAGCAAATACAACAGAAATACTGGATCATATGATTATCATTTGCTTCGGATGATAATTTTCATGCACTGAACCACTAAATAAAAAAGCATTCTGTTTTCTTGCTTTCAGTTTTTCCTGCAGTTCCATTTCCGACTAAACCTTTTTTTTGTTTCTGTTGTATAGTATAAAAAAATGCATTGCCCTGAAAATCAGGAACGCGTAACGAACCCCCAAGAACGTCTGCCTGAGAGGCTATGAAGATTGGTGTTCAATTTTGTAAGATCGCTGTCTTTGATTTTTATTTCACATGAATTCTCAGTCTTAATTTTTTGTCAAGCTGTAATTTGTGGTCCTGTGGAAAGTGGTTAGCTTTTTGTCCCAGCAAACATTGAGATTCAAGGAATGACAGTATCCTATGGGCTCTTGGTTTAGTTGTTTGTTTCTTAAAAGTCCTGGTAGCTTTTCGGGCCTGAAATCAAAGATTCAATTCAAAGTCTTTTAAAAGAACGAATGTGCAGGTCCTAGCTTACAAACGGTTGAAACTAGTCCATTTTCTTTCATTTGTTAACTTATAGTTTTATTATATTATGTACAAAACTACTGAAACCTTATCTTGAATTTTAACAACAACAGGTTTCTGCGCCCATTAATTATTGGGACTTTCAAGAAACGAGTCCCAGATAAGTGCTTTGTCATGGAGCCACAGGAAAATAAACAAACAAACAACAATTCTAATAGATTCCTATCCTGCACAAACAACACTGAACATGTATGTATCTCATGCTGGTTACCGTTGAATTCGGCGGCTACATTAACATTTATTGTCTAATAACAGTCTAGGTTATTCCCAGGGAAACAGCTTTTCTCCCAACAACAACAAAAACAACAACCGAACAAACTATTGATAAACAGATAATATAACAGAAGCACTTCCCGCAACTAGCAAGGCTATTCGAGGTGGGGAAGTGCGTGCAAAAAAAAGAAATTAAGATTAATTGCTAACTAAGGATTTTTTTGCAGTAGATGTTGTAGTTAATATTCTATCTTAGGTATTTTTTGTTATTTCTTCGTTGTTTTTGGGTATGGTAATTATGCTAATGAAGTTGAAACAAAAGAAAAATTGCATTTACCTGAGATAAAATATTAACTACAACGTATACAAATAAATGAAATTAAAAATTTCGTAATATGGATGAGGACTAGATAACACGATGAAGAAAAAAAATTAAACAAATAACAACTTGTAAAAGCTGAAACGATCAAGCAAGAATTTATTTTTCAATATTTTTAGCTAATTTTACCTTTTTCATTAAGGTGGGCATATCAATAAAGTCATCTTCAGAAACAAAATTCTGAATTCAATTCTCCTAACTTTGTTCTCAACAGAGTTTTAACCACAAGCATTGTAAACCAATAGTTAATTAAAATACTCATGTAAAACAGTACTATTCATCTTGAAAGATTTAAAAGAAATAAAGAGCCAATTGCATTAATCTTTGTGATGCCGAAACTTAACTGCTTCATTCAAAAATCTGAATACGTCTGTTTCTGAAGTCAGACACGACTATTTTACCATCACTGAGAACTGCTGCTGAGACTGGTATATTAAACTCTCCCATCTCGCTTCCTTTTGTTCCAAACTTAGCGACAAACTTCCCACTCAGATCAAACACCTGAATCCTGTGATTGAATGAATCACAAACCATCAGGTGTCCTGCCTTGTCCATGGACAAGCAGTGAGGTGAGTTAAACTCTCCGTCTGCATTTCCCTTGTTCCCAAATTGGTAAGGAAAGTTACCTCTCCTATCAAAGCATTTTATACAATGATCACCTTTGTCTGATACTATAAGATAGTTGTTATGTTGAATACAGTGAAAGGGTTCAGTGAAAGAGCCCTCTGTGCCTAGTTTATTTAAAAACTGTCCATCAGCGGAAAATATCTTAATTAATTTGTTTTGCCTATCGGCTACAATGATATGGTCATCACTGTCAATAGATAAACCAGTAGGAGAGCTAAGTTTGTGATCAAGACTTCCTTCCCTCCCAAAGTGGCGAAGGTATCCCCCCTGTCTACTTAGCACTTGGACTCTGTGGTTATCCTGTTCAGCTACAATAATATTGTCACCATGATATACTGTCCCGGAGGGGAAGTCAAACTCACCGTGTTGAGCACCCTTTCCACCAAAAGATTTAACATGAGTTCCATCGCTCTTAAATAAATGAATCTTATGGTTACCAACGTCACCTACTGCAATTTCATCTTGTTCATTTACTGCTACCCCCCAAGGTTTCTTCAATATTTGTTCTCCAAAAGATAACACAGATCTGAACTGTCTGGGTTTGACTTGAACCTCAAAAGGGCTGCCACGGATATGTTCTCCATTAACCTTCAGTGATGCACTGCATGTTCCTGTTTCTTTGGCAAAGTATTTGATCTTGTAAGTACCATCTTTGTTATCTTGGACTTGCACTTCGGCTACGCAGTTATCACCTTGACAATTTCTAACTTCCAGTGCGACACAGTCATTATTATTATAACACTGTTGACATTTCTTGTTTCTTGTTGTCACAACAAGCTGTGCTTCAAGTCCAACAGTCGCTTCATTTATCCTTTTTCCATCAGCACTCGACTGTTGCGCTCTTGTTTGGGTAAGGGAACCAATTTGTTCAGTACTTACGAGATCAAATAACCTTTGATTCTTCACAAAATCAAATTCCTGACATGGACGGTCATCACGATCACTTCGGTCTTCTTGGTAATTTTCTTCCTTTAATATTTTGTCCATCTGCTCGTTCGGTTGCATGAGTTGGGTGCTTGTGCGTCGCTTTAGAAGTGTTTCAGTATCTTCTATTTCTGATTCATGTCGTCTTGCCTGTTCTTTAAACTCCTCTTTTTGCTTTCCAATTTCTTGAAGATATGCTTTTGTTCTTCGTTCCACATCATCAAAGATCTCCAGTTTCTTTGCTTCAATCGCTGCATGAATGCGGTCAGCATACTCCTGTACGTTTTTCTTCACACGAGCGGCTTGTTCTTGAACTTCATTATGGCATTCGTCAAGTTTGGTGATTTTGATTCTGTTTATTTGTGCTCTTTTCCTGTGCGATTCAATCGCAGACATAACTTTTAACTTCCGTTCATTTGCAGCCAGTTCTAGAAGAATCTTTCCGTGCCCATCATGATCGGTCAACGCACAAGCGTTACAAATTGCTACTTCACAAATCTTGCAAAAAAACTCGATTTCTTTCTTTTCATGGCCTGGCATTGCACAAAATTCTGGCCTCTGTAAAATGTTCTCAAAGTCTTGATCTTGAAAGTCTTCTAAAGCCAGCGCGTAGTGATCTTTATTCGCCTTGATTCTGTTGTGGAGACCAATACACTCCTCGCACCAGAAAGCATAACACTGGAAACAATAATGGCTCTGTTTAGTTCTTTCGTCGCAATTTCCACACTTAACTCCGGTCGTGTTGCACTCCTTTATTGCTAATACATCGAGCAAGCTGTTAATACGAAAATTTGTTGGCAAAGCTGCTAGGTTTCCATTATCAGGGACATTGAATTCCTGTCTGCACTCCGGGCACGCAATTTTATCTCGTCTGCCACTCGTTCGTGGAATCCCATTCAGACAATGGAGGCAAAAACTATGCAAGCACGGCAACTGTTTTGGATCGGTGTACTTGCTCATACACACAGAACATGATAATTCTTCATGAAGGTTGTTTAACAAGGTTTGAATATCCATGCTGACTGTGTTGGTGGCCCGGGGGTGGTACTTTAGGAATTTCTGGGTGGGGATGTGCCGCTGGGACCCTGGAACCCTTAACCTATAACAGAGCTAGTTCAGCTGAATTTTGCTACCCTATACTAGAGTAAACTCCCCAAATCCCCCTATCTTAGAGTAGCTAATTCCCTTGTCTAGATAAAATCTTCAACCAACTGATCATTTTCTTGAAAAATGATACCCTATTCTAGACCCAAACACTCTGATTTATATACCCTATCCTACAGTAAACTGCCTGAAAACCATACCCTTCACAGCGGCACATACCTATATAGCCCATATATGGCAGTGCCCCCCCCGGGGTTGGTGGTCGCGAAAGTGGTAAACGTGACGGAACGGCGAAAACTATGTTGAATACATCGGAGTCTGTTTGTGGATTTTGCGCATGATTGACCTCGAGAAATTATGTCATAAACCAATCAAAAAGACTTACTTGACATGTTTTGACGTTAAGTAGCTTCTGAGAATGATTGTAAAATACCCGGCATTTCTTAGAACTGAGTTCAGGGTGGGTACTGAGGCCCCATTAGGGGTTTTCGGGATACGGGATATTCGCGGGAAAAAAATTACCGGGATACGGGATATTTGAGGAAAAAGTTATTGGGATACAAGATATTGAGAAGTAGTTTCAGGGATACGGGATATTCGCAAAAAATTGTAACATATCAGATGTTTTGTAGTAATCAAACCAGAATTCCAGCCATCTCGACTACCAGAAGCACCCTTCCTTTTGGGCAAATTAATGTGAGAACAACGTAAAAGCATCTGAGAGAAAACTGACGGTCTCCATCTACGCTCAAGATCAACTCCTCCCCTTCAATTTTGTTGATGCGCAACTCCAGTGCCAAATTGAAATCAGTGGCATATTGCGTAAAGCTGAGAATGTTCGAATTGCGGATGATGTCGTGGCACTGGATAAAGATGAATATTCCAGTTGTGTCATTGATTGTTTGGACTATGGGGATCAGACAACAGCACGAGAGTCACCTGAGATTGGAGAAGATGTGTCAAAAGAGGCAGAAGCGTCTAATGAAGTCGTTCAAGTGCGACCCTCAGAGACAACAGTGCGAACCACACGGCCAGGAAGAACACCGCGACCCCGAGATCAATCATTATAGCTGTTCTACGATTGACAGTCAAATATCCAGGCTTACTAATGACACTAATGTCTCTATGGTTGATTAATACCAAAGATAAACTGCTGTTTGACACAAGTTCTCCGGTGAATTAAGGAATGGGTCCTCGTTACATGCGGGGTTTTATGACTTGATCTTGTTTTTTCCAGTATCTTCCCTTATTTTAATCTTAGACCGCTGTGTTTAAGACCAGAACCACTATGGACCTTAAACACTCCCTTTTTTAGATCACGTGACCAGCCACGCCCATAATTATGCAAAATTTGGACTTTGCAGATTACACCAGTTTGCTGAATGTGACCACAATCGTTTTTCCTTCCATGATATTTCATTTACAGTCAAATAAGCTAAATTAATCGGGGATTTGTGAAATGACCCATTCCTTCGTAATTATTAGATATTTTCTCTCGTCCCAGTCTCCCTCTTAACAAGAAACGTTATAGTTTACAAAACGTAGATAATTTAAGAAAACCCGGATTAATTCCATAAACTTTGTTTCAATAGTCATTGACTTTAAAGTGAATTAAATTACAAGTGTTATTTATAAAGTGGTGTAAATTTGGATTGAAATAAAAAGTGAAAAATGGGTGTGGCAAGTCACGTGACACAGATAATACATTAGTTATAACGAAAAATGAATGCTTATGGGGAGTAGATATTGAATTTAAAATATTAATGCGAAAGTTAAAATCCCTACTAAAACAGACCATCCCCCCCCGGCTCCAAATTTGCAGTGCCCCATTCCTTAATTCACCGGAGTTGTACCATTTGTGCCACTGGACAGCACAGAACACATGAATCAACCAAATGCTCAGGACGGCAACTAACTAATAAAGGAACAAAATGAGAAAGGACTTTGGTATCAGGCGATATGTAGAAATTAAGGGCATCAGGTAAGTTAATTACTATTAACTGGTATACAAAAGTGATTTTGGTGGCAACATTTGTTAACTTTCCACTTGATATCTACCATATTTTGAATGACAGCAGTTTAAACAACTGTCACAATAAGCTCCCTGAAAACCATACTTTTCCAGTTTACGTTTTAATGCCAGTGAACGAATATTATAAAATATATCGTAGCAAGTAACATATGAAATATGGCCGATACTTTAATTTCCGAGATATTTGTGACCGGAATTTATGGGATACGGGATATTTGGTCAAAAAATTAGGGATACGGATATTAAGACCCCCCCTAATAGGGCCTCGGTACTGTTCCCTGACCTTTATTTAAGTGTTCCAGAAAATCAAAAACACTTTTTTTTTTTAGGTCCGTTTTTCTTTACAATAGAGAGCTGCTTTTTGGTACGTTAGCGTATTTTCAACAACACCAGACAACTGTAATGATGTCCAGAAGGTTTTGGGACACTTTCCTTTTTTCAGGTCAGTCTTTGTTTGGAATTTGCATGTAGCCAGCAATACATATACATGAACACCGCGTTACCAAGGTTCCCCCCCCTGATCAAACTTTAAGTTGAGGTCGATGTGTAGAAACTGACCCAACACTGTTCATGGGGGAAGGGGGTTAACAAGCTCTCCATTTGGGGAGCTGTAGCCTTAGCCTGAGTATCAGGCGTTTCTGGGGGAAAAAGGGAAAGATGGAAGCGAAAAAGGGAGAGAGCTGAAGGAGAGAAACTCCCTTTCTCTTCTCCCCCTCCCCCCTCCCCCATCTAAGATCTCCTCTCCCCTAGCCCCTTAGGAAGGCCTGATACTCAGGCTATTGTAGCCTAGGCTAAGGATGACACGTAAATGAAACGTAAGCGAAAATACGATCATGCTGAAAACTCAGACCATGCAGACTGCAGACTGCAGACTGCAGACTGCAGACTGCAGACTGTGCAGACCGTGCAGACCGTGCAGACTGATGACATCGGTATCTGTAAGATTTGAAGAAATGACGGCAAGTCACCGGTTTGAATTACAGAGTGAAACCAAAGACGATCATCAACAATCAAGGAAATCGAGGAAATGTCTCTCTCGTAGCCGTTGTAGGAAGCCGAAGAGGGTTTTATTTTAAGTCACTTAACCTGAAAAAGCTTCTTCTACTAAAAAAATTTAAATAATCGTGGCAATATAATAAAATTACAGAAAGGAACAGCTTACCTTCCCCTATCGTGCTCGCTCCTGCGGGAAACTATAATAAAATTTTCGCTGTGGCTATATGGCCGGTAACCGGTCAAGGTGTTAAAAACACTAAATGACCGGCAGTCCCATATTCCGTAAATTTCACAAATAATCTAAACTATCATATGTCGAGTAAGACAAGCCAAGCGACCCTGAAATGCTTTATAGATCTCAAGTGTAGCTTTTGGTTAACGATGGGCTCAGAAGACGAAACCGTGTTTTGTGACACTTGAAGTTTTTACCGGGGCCTAGCCGAAGGCTGGCACCGGTCATAAAATGCAACGCGTTTCTGTGTTTTCAAAGTTACATTGTTAGGGATACGGTCAGTGTAAAACGCAGACTGCGGACTG